ATGATCATGCTGCTGATAATGCTAATAATAATGGTGATGGTGGTGGTGATGATGGTTAGTATGAGTGTGAGTAGTAGCATGCTGATGTTGGTGATGATGTGGGTACTGATGATGCTGATGCTGGTGATGAGGTTGATGATGCTGATGATGACGATGATGCTTATGATGTCGTTGAGGATGATGATGATGATGATGATGATGATGATGATGATGATGATGATGATGGTGATGGTGATGATGATGATGATGATGATCATGAACAATCATATGATGATGCTGATGTTGCTGATGATGATGGTGATCATGACTAGGATGCTGGGAGTGATCATGATGCGGATGCGGATAAAGAGGAGGAGCATGAGCATGAGCATGAGGATGATGACAGGATGAGGACGAGCACGAGGACGACAACAAGGACGGTGGTGATGAGGAGGAGAAGGACAGCCGCCACACGTGTTACCTTTCGTCTTCATTCCTCGCGGTGCCCTCGTGTGGACCTCATGTGGGCCGTGTTGGGGTTGTGTTGGGCTCTTGTGGGACAGGTTGGGGGTCCTTTGGAGCCTCGGGTCGTCTTTGGGCTCTCTTGGGGCCAGTTGGGGGGCCCTCGTTGCCGTCTAGGGGGTATCTTCGGGCCGTCGTGCGGCCGTCTTGGGCCCTCCTGGGGTCCTGGTCCTCTTCGGTCCCTCCAGATGTCCTTTTGGGCCAGTTTGAGGCCCTCTTGGGGGGCGCCATGGGCCGTCCAGGGGCCTTGTTCGACCGACTCGGTTTCAGGACGTTCCAGTGTTGTGTCGCTTGGTTTGCTTTGTTGGTTGGTGGCGTGTTGCGTGGCGTCTTGTTGCGCAAGTCGTTTCGAAACCGCGCACTCAAATCGACTGTGCGAATGTATTACACTAGTTGTCGACCTGTGAACCTCACACAGAAATTCTACAAAAACTCTGTTTAACATGTTCTTAATCGTAAGGCACACCATGGATCAACATGTAATACCTCCACAAAGGGAGTCTGTGTGTAGAGCCCCACAAAAAAGGGCAATGTGTCATCCGCGCTATAAGGATTGATTCGCAGTTCGATCACCACCAGAATTCGAACGTAAAGTCGCACAAAAATACATGGTTTTTAACATTCACACGCTTGGGGTCACTTTGGTCAGTCACCACACAAGGGCACACAAGGAATCCTGTTGCACAGCCAGGCAAGATCGTCGCTGCTCCTTGGGTGGCTGCGAGTTGCGCAAGAATTGCGTACCTCGGGAGGCCGTGAGAAACGAAATCGGCGCCCCCAGCAGCCCTGGCGCCATGCCACCGCGATTGGGGGCGCGCCTACGTAAGCGGCGCCCACGCGGTAGACTGTGGGGGCTCCGCAGCCCCGCCAGACCCAGATAGCCCCGTCGCCCTGTCCACCGAACGCCCCCCCACACCGCAGCGGTGCATGGATCGAAGGAGAAGGAAATCCATGCACCGACGTGGTTGGCCAGTAGGGGAACGCCCTCACAGGACTTCCGTTGCCGGTTACACGCGTTTGCTAATGGCGGCGCTGGCGCAGGCCCCGTGGAAGTAACGATTCGCATATCTTCGAAAGGAGGCGAAAGCAGCGCCCCCGGCGCCGTGGGGGGGCGCGCGAGCACTGATGCTCTGCGCGCCCTTTCGCAAGGAGGTTGGCTCCTTCCGGGCCCGATCAACGGCGGAAAAATTGTGACGGTGTGGATTTATTAGCCCCCCGAGAGCATTTGTTTCGTCAGCGGCGAGGCAGAGAAATTGCTCCAGCGGGTAGCGATTCGGGGCGACCGAAGGGCGAATTAGCCGGCGTGCAAGAGGGTGAAAAGGAGAAGGGCGCCGCCGTGACAGCAGCCGGGCGGCAGCGAGGGTGCACCCGTGGGCGTTGCCAGGGTCTCCCGAGAACACATCCGCGCGCTGCACAAGGCCTCCAGGCGCCGCGAAACCTCGTCGCCGAGAGAATCAGCGAGTTCCACGATGGGCCCAGCACAACGAAACCAATGATGGGCCTGTTTCCCACCATCAGCACCATAAGTTGGAGGGGGGAAGGAGGTGGAGGACTAGGAGGAGGAGGAGGACGAGGACGAGGAGGACGAGAGGACGAGGAGAAGGAGGAGGAGGACGAGGAGGAGGAGAAAGAGGATGATGATGATGATGATGATGATGATGATGAGGAGGAGGAGGAGGAGGAGGAGGAGGAGGAGGAGGAGGAGGAGGACCCCCTCCCCCTTCAACTTATGTTGTTGGTGGTTGTGGTAAACAGGCCCATCAACCAAGGTCACGTATTTGTTGGTCAGGGAAGCGCGCAAGCATTGCCAGAGCGCAAGCTCGCAGCAAGCGAGCATGGCAGGCATGCGGGACCTGGGACGGCGAAGGCAGGCAGCACCACTGGCATTAAGTCAGGCATGTCCCTGTACAGGAGGAATATTCAAGAATAGAGAACAAATAGTTGGGGGGGGACGGATTTTGGAGCAATTATGATTTATGATGATCCTTTTTGAGCATGTCTGTTGGTATTTTTGTTTTCGTGCAAAACCCGCCTGTCGGGGGACATGCCCGACCTAACACCACTGGCACCCGGAGGAGACGCCGCGAAAAAGATGCGGGCCCGACGCGAGCACGGAGCTCATTTCTAAACATTCCTTCTCGGACTGTCTTGCCCCCGTTCTCTTATTCGTTGATTTACCGGTCGGCACGGGCCCTCGCACCCCCGTTCCCCCCCCCCCCTCCCAATGGAGTAGATTTTGGCCGTTTTCGGCGCCAGTTTCGAGCGGGTGGAGCTTCTCCCCCACAGGGCGCACCCTTGCAAACAGTCGCACAGAGCAGAGGTCTGGAGCCAGCCCCCTCCCCTTCCGCCCAATGCCGGCCGAAACGCCGAATCAGAAAACCGTGACTCAGCCACGCGCAGAGGGGGGTGGGGGGAAGGGGAGGCCTTCTTAGAAGCACCCCTCCTTCTAAGAAGCCCTCCCCCTCCCTCCACCCCCTTGCGCGCACCGCCAACTAACGCTGCCCCGCACTCGAGTGCCCCCCCCCCCAGGGGCGCTCGAGGTGCTTGCATTCCTCACGCTGCGCCCCTGCTGCGACGTGCGACGACCGCTCCCGAGCTGCCCAGACGCTCGAGGTCCTGATGCTGTCTTCGAGGCGGGCCCCGGCTCGAGGAAGACAGATGTGCACTGACTTCTTGGATCTCGCCCCTCGGAGTCCTGCTGTGGTCTGGAAGCGGCCCCCTGCGACCTCGTTCGTCCCTCTTTGTGCGCACCGCCAGCTGACCTTCTGAGCGGACCGTGGCCGCAGCGCCGACCTCTCGGAGGCCCGGCCCGGCTGCCTCGGTCCCGGCCGGGCGCCCCCGCTGCACGGTCTCGCTCCCGGGGGGCCCGCTCTCGGCCGCCGAGGTCCAGCGGCCGCTGGACTACCAGCGGTGCCCCGCCAGCTCGACGTGCTGGCAGCTGCACGGCGAGGACCGCGGGGGATGCGGTGTTTCGTGCTGGGGACCTCAGGGGCAAGGTTGGGTGGGGAGAGGCTCGAGGTTGCCAAGGTTTTCTGAGGTTTTCTGAGTTGTCCGTAGGGTCTCGGCCGTTTTCCAGCCTCGGGGTGCCTTCCAGCAGCCGCGCCTCGCCGAGGGCGTTCCCGGGGTGCCAGGGAAGAGGAGGAGGAGGAGGGACCAGTGCAAACCCAAGACTCAACAGCGTTGTTGGAATACACGCTTCTCCAAGCTCCCTCTTCACAGGCCCCCACCAGGGGTTCACTTCCACCGAGGGGAGTGCCCCGTGGGGGCCGCTTCCGGCCCGAGGTTGCCCGCCCTGGCGCCGCTGCCCCCCCCCCCTCAACGTCGCCCGGCAGTGCACGCCGCGAGGGCCGCGGAGGGCTCGGTGTTCGTGCCGGGGGCCGCTTTTTTCCACGGGCGACGCGTGCGCTCCGCGCCGCGTGGGCGCCTCCCGAGGCATCGCCGATCCTCGAACCCGAGAGTGGTAAGGCGTATGTCGAAGAAGATGGTCAAGCAGTGGCGAAGCGTCCTGGCTCGCCTATAGGCCCACCGAGGAATGGTCTAAGAACATGTTGTGGTTTGCACGACATGTTCTTCGAACATTTCTGGCTGAGCCTACCTTGTTTTCACACATCGGGCTTATGTTCTAAGAACATTGCTCTTGTTCTAAGAACTTGGTTGGGTTCAAAGAACATTGCGTGGAAGGCCTATAGGAATGCCGGGACGGTCGGTCCCTGCTCAAGATAAAGCGTCATGAACATAAATGTTAAGCGCTCCGCGCGCGCACACACACACACACACCCTTTATGCCACATGTCGTCGGAAGTGAAGCGAGGTCGCCACAGCCAGTGGAAGCTGGCGGAAGGTGGCGGAAGTAACGCTTCGTCACGTTTCGCTTCCGCTCGCGCAATTTAGGCCGTAGTTTTGTTGTTACGTCTCTCGGACGGCGTTCGGCATTTACGATGCGCTCGCGATCAAAAAAGTATCCCCACCAGCCCATCCCCAAATAGCAGGTGTTACGAAGCATATTGACCGTCGTTGTTCTCGGGCGTACCTTCTCCTGCCCTCGCATATACCCTCCTGTTCATACCACCTGCTCCCTTTTGGCTCTTCCTTATGGGAGGAGTGGGTGGGGGACGAGGTGGAGGAGGAGGAAGAAGAGAAGGCGGTGGGAGGCGAGAGGGAGATAGCCGCGACGACGACACGACGACGGCGATGACCACAACGACGACGACGATGACAACGACGACGACGACGACGACGACCGCGACGACGAAGACGACGACGACAACGACTACGTCAACCTCGCCTTCTCCCTTTTAGCTTTTCCTTGTGGGAGGAGTGGGAGGAGGACGGGGCGGAGGAGGCAGAGGAAGAAGAGAAGGCGGTGGGAGGCGAGAGGGAGATAGCGGCGACGACGGCGACGACGGCGATGACCACAACAACGCCAACGACGACGACGACGACGACGACCACGACGACCACGACGACACTGACAACGGCTACTACTACGACGACGACGACGACCGCGACGACGGCCACGACGATGACGACGACGACGAGTCAACCATCAATGCCTTTACTGGGTCTCTCTCTGTGAAAGCCTCTTGGAGGCATCTTGGGGCTATCCAAAGGGGCCCCTTTGTGCCTCTTGGGGCACCCTTGGAGCTCTTTTGGGTGGTCTTGGGGCCCTCTTGGGGCTCTTTGGGGGGGGTTGGGAGGTCTTTGGGGCCACCTTGGAGGCCACGGCTCAACAAGGAGCGCGGCGCCGATTACGGTCCCCCCTTCGGAACCCGAACAGTTGCCTCTTGGGGCCCTCTTGGGCCGCTCTTGGGGCGCTCTTGGGCCCGTCTTGGGCCTTTCTGGGGCCTGTTTTGGGGCTCTCTGGGGCCATCTTTGGGCCATCTTGAAGCCACAAGAGCCCATTGAAAGCGAACAGGAGAAACGGGAAACAACATTCATGTTTCCCTTAGGTTTTTCAAGGATTTGGGCGTCTCGGGGGCGTCCTTGTGAGGCTCCGTGGCCACTTGGGGCCGTCTTGGGGCGGTTTTGGAGCCTCGTGTAGACTTTTGACGAGCTATCCTGAGTCATCGGAGGCTATCTTGAGCGATCTTTGAGGTCATCTTGAGCTCTCTTTGGCTGTCTTGGCGCCATCTTAGTTAGGCCCCCCCCATCCAGGCCCAGGGGGGGGTGTAGAGGAAGGGGGAGACCCCTCCCCGAAGGGGAAGAAGGGGGTTGGACAGGGAGGGCTCCCTAAACCACTCACGCCCAGAGGGCTGGTGGGATTGCACCACCAAGAGATGAACACGTTTTTGGGTTCAGGATTTCCTGGAACGCCCATCTGTATACATATATATATATATACACATATACATATATATATACAGGTATATATATATAGATATACACACGCATGTGGATGTATGTGTGTGTGTGTCCCTTCGTGTGTGTGTGCGTGTGGTGCTTGGTTGTGTTTGTGTGTGTGTGGGTAGGTGGGTAGGTGGGTTGCTAGGCGTCTCTCCGCCCGACCCCTCTTCGCCGCGCCACCGCGCGCGTGGCCGCGCCGCGAAGGGGTGTACGTGTGTGCGTGCGTGTACGTGTGTGTGTGTGTGTGTGTGTGTGTGTGTGTTCGGCGGCGAGCGAGGGGGGGAAGTGAGAAGGAGAAGGCCCTCTCAGAAGGCGGCGGGGCTTCTCAGAAGCCCCGCCGCCTGGTCTTCTGGGGAAGGCTTAGAAAACTTGTCACTGCTCTCCGTGTCTTCGGGGAAGGCTTCGGAGGAACTTCGGAGCCTTCCGAGAAGGCCCGCCCCTTCTCATTTCTCTCCTGGACTCCCCGCCGATATGTGTATGTGTGTTTCTGTGTGGTGTGCCCGTGTACATGTTTACCTGGCATCTTCGGGGGGACCTCGCTTGCCCCCAAGATTGGTGCCTTTGTCTCGGACTCGGCGCGGCTTTGGCGTGGATTCGACGCGATTTCGACACGGATTCGACATGGACCCGACGATTCCGCACGGATTCGGAACGTATTCGACGCGGATAGGGACGCGAAGGGACAGACAAGGTGCCCCGCGGATGCAACACAATGTATGTGTGGTGCGTCTCTCCGCACGGTTTGTCCCCGCCGCGCCGCTGCGGGCACGGCCGCGACAGCAACAAAGTGCGCGGGTGTGTGTGTGTGTGTGTGCGTGCGTGCGTGCGTGCGTGCGTGCGTGCGTGCGTGCGTGCGTGCGTGCGTGCGTGTGTGTGTGTGTGTGTTGTGTGTGTGTGTGTGTGTGTGTGCGTGCGTGCGTGCGTGCGTGCGTGCGTGCGTGGCGTGCGTGCGCGTGCGTGCGTCGTGTTGTTGTTGTTGTGTTGTTGCTGTTGCTGTTGTTGTTGTTGCTGTTGCTGTTGCTGTTGCTGTTGTTGTTGTGTGGGTGTATGTATCTGTGTCTGCGTACGTGCGCGCGTGCGTGCGTGCGTGTGTGTGTGTGTGTGTGCGTGTGTGTTGTGTGTGTTTTCGTGTGTGCTTGCGTTATGTGCGTGCGTGCGTGCGTGCGCATTTGCTTTGTTGCTTGTGTGTGTGTATGTGGGTGGGGGGTGCGTGCGTGCGTGCGTGTGCGTGTGCGTGTGCGTGTGCGTGTGCGTGTGCGTGTGCGTGCGCCTGCGTGTGCGTGTGCGTGTGCGTGTGCGTGTGCGTGTGCGTGTGTGTGTGTATATTTGTGTGTGTGTCGCGTTCTCGTGCGCATACTCTCGCGCGCGCCCTGCTGGTTGTTGGCTCTGCTCGTTGCCGAGCCCGTGGAGCAACCTTCGTCGGTTCTCCTCCACCCTCCTCCTCATTCCTCCGCCCTCCGCGATCCTCCTCCCTCCTCGATCCTCCTTCCCTCCTCCTCGATCCTCCTCGTCCTCCTCCTCCTCCTCCTCCTCCTTCTCGATCCTCCTCCTCCTTCTCCTTCTCCTCTGCGCCCTCCTCGTCCTCCTCTTCCTCCTCCTCCTCCTCCTCCTCCTGCTCCTCCCTGCGCCCTCTTCGACCCTCCTCCTCCCCTCCTCCTCCTCCCGAGCTCCCTGCCCCCGAGGACGGCCTCGGGACGTGCGCGAACGCCGGGTGCCAGTGCGACTGCACCGAGGGGGCCGCCGACTCGGGGGGGGGGGGAAGGCCCGACGACGAGGGGGGGAGGCGCAAGGTGCCGAGGCCGCAGCCCGTCCCCCGGCTCCGCCGTCTTGGGCCTCCTTCGGCGGGGAGCGAGGGGCAGGAGGAGGAGGAGGAGGAGGAGGAGGAGGAGGAGGAGGAGGGGGAGGGGGAGGAGGACAAGCTAGGTGCGCTCGCGTCATATCTGAGGTCCTACCCCTCCCTCCCATCCTTTACCATGGCGCTGATTTTCTCTATCCGCGGACGCGTGTCGTAGCGGACCTGTGGCTCCGCGCGCGCGTGCGTAGTGGGTGGTGGTGCACGTGCGTGCGTGCGTGCGTGTGTGCGTGGTTGTCGTGGTGGTGGTGGTGGTGGTGGTGGTGGTGGTGGTGGTGGTGGTGGTGGTGGTGGTGGTGGTGGTGATGGTGGTGGTGGTGGTGTGGTGGTGGTGGTGGTGGTGGTGCTGGTGGTGGTGTGTTGGTACGGGTGCTGGTGCTGGTGGTGGTTGTGGTGGTGGTGGTGGTGGTGGTGGTGGTGGTGGTGGTGGTGGTGGTGGCGGTGCGGCGCGGTGGTGGCGGGCGGATGGGCGCGCGAGAAAAAGGCCCGCGCTGGGGCGAGAACGCCATCCTGAGCGACGGAGGCCAAACACCGATCCGAAAATGAGGCCCACGCTGCAGCGGGAGCACGATTCGGAACGATTCGGGAGCAGAAATGAGGCCGTCGCCTCAACGAGAGCAGCATTTTGGGACAAAAATTACGCTGGCGCCTCAGCGAGAGTCGTTTCCCGGGATTTCCCGGGCATCCTGTGTGTAAAAAACGGTACGCGGAGGGTGCGCGGCCATCACCCGGACGCCATCAGGGGAAGAGGGAGAGTATTTTAATATTGAGTAATTGTGGAGGAGGAGGCGGAGGAGGAGGAGGAGGAGGAGGAGCGAGGAGGAGCGAGTGGGGGAAGTGCGAAGGAGAAGGCCTGGTCAGAAGGCGGCGGGACTTCTCAGAAACCCTCGCGCCTCTGAGAGGCTGTCTGCGTCTGCGGGGAAGGCTTAGAAACCTTCTCAGAAGGCCGAGGGACTTCGGAGCCTTCTGAGAAGGCCTTCTCCTTTTCATTTCGCCCCCCTGGTCGCCGCCAACTCTTGGGAGGCCCTCCGCAGACGTGCCCGCGTCGTGAACAGAAACACGGCGTGCGGTTTTGTTGGCACTTGTCTGGCGCGGGGGGCCCTCTTCACGGGGCCCCAGGGCCATCCGAAAATGGCTCGGGGTGAAGCTGGCTCTGGGGAATTGGTCGGGACTTCACATGACTGTCGGCCATGCGCACAAGGGGTACGGGGAGGCGCGGGTCTTGTCTGTAGATTTAAGACTGGCGCCGTCTTAGAAGCAGCCTCCTTCTAAAAAGTCTTCCCCCCTCCACCTGCCCCCGTGTGCGCGCCGCCAAGCAACAGTCGTGTCCCAAAGGAAGGTGCCATTTTTGACCACACAAACATTTTCCCGTCGACGGCGAGGCAGAGGCGGTCCGCTCCAGCGTGTTGCGATTCGTCGGGGCAACCGAATGGCGAATTGGCCACCGTGCACAGGGGAGGAAACAGGAAGAGTGCGGCCGCACGGAGGACCAGAGGATGGAAGAGAGGTGGGAGAGTTCCGCGTCGAGCGGGTCGGAGCGGCTGGCCAAGGCAGCGGTACATTAGGGGAACGGGCAATGATATAAACATAAAAATTCTGAGGTCCGCACGGATTTCTTGGATCCGCGCTGGATCCCCCTCCCTGGCGCGCAGAGCGCGCCAGGGGCGGCGCCGGAGGCGCCGCCAGGGGTGTCCAGCGCCGATCCGAGAAGTCCGCGCGGATCTCCCAGTTTTTCTGTTTATGGCATTAGTCGTTCCCCTATACCCAGCATCGCGCAGAGTCTGGTGGGGGAGGGGGGGGCTTCTTAGAAGCACCCATGCTCCTTAGAAGGCGCGGTCCTTTTCTTTAGGTGTAAGGCCGCCGCGTTCTAAGAAGCAGCCTCCTTCTAAGCCGCCCTCCCCCCTCCCCCAACCCCCTGGTGCGCTCCGCCAGTATCCACACACACACACATCCACGGTTTTGTGCTGGACCAGTGTGTGTGTGTGTGTGTGTGTGCAGCTGCGCGCATGTGTGTGTGTGGTGTCTGTGCGTGGTGTGTGTGTGTGTATGTGTGTGTGTGTGTTTGTGTATGTGTGTGTGTGCGTGTGTGTGTGTGTGTGTGTGTGTCTGTGTGTGTGTGTGTCTGTGTGTGCGTGGTGTGTTCGTGTGTGTGCTTGTGTTTGTGCGTGGTGTAGTGTGCAGACGTGCGGTGTCCCCGGGATAGCCCGTCAGAGGCTCCGAGGCGGGTGCCCGCGGAGACGCCGAGGGTCGAGGAGTATGAGCCCGCTGGCCCAGGGTCTCAAGCCGGGCACGTCCCTCTACAGAAGCACAACCCAAAACTATCAAGCAGCGGCGAAGCGTCCTGGCATCTGCTGAATATGTTTTGTTTTGTCACACCGGGTTTACGTTTTAAGACCGTTGTTTTTGTTATTAGAACATGTCTGGGTCCTGAGATCAAGCAGTGGCGAAGCGTCCTGACGTGCCTGTAGCCCCACCAAACAGTGCTCTAATCACTTCTTGTGGTTTCGACGAAATGTTCTCAGAACATGTGTGGCTCGGACTGTCTTGTTTGAACATATCGGGCTTATGTTCTAAGAACACTGCTTTGTTCTTAGAACACTTCTGGCTTCTAGGAAATTTTCGTGGTACCCCTATAGGAATGCAGGGACGGTCGGCCCCTGCTCAACTCAGGAGGAGTAGTGGGAACTAGTCAAGAATAGTCTGGGAGTTCCGTTTTTGTTTGGACTGTGTTTCTATTGTTCTTATTTTTCCTCAGATCCGCCCGCAGGAGGACGTGCCCGACCGAAGCCCAGGGTCGGGACGAATCGCTCCAGGGCAGCCCCGGGCGTTCCCAGAGCGCTCTGAGAACGTCGGGTGCAGCTCTCCGTGCCGCGGGATCTCAGAGATTTCCTGCCCAGACATGCTGTTGTGGGCAGGAAGGTCCCAAACAGAAATCCTGCAGAGATTTCCTGCCCAGACCTCAGAAATTATCCTGGCGAAGGTCCCAAACATATGCAGTTGTGGGTAACGTAATTGTGAGTGAATATCTGCTTCGGTGAAGCTCCCTATGGGGCCACGAAGCGCTGCACTGGGCGGGGGGGAACGCTGCACTGTGTGGGTGGTGTGCCGAATTGGGTTTCCGGGACGCATGCGGACGGTCCCACTGAGGGCTTCGGTGGAGCTCCCTAAGGGGCCACGAAGCGCTCTTTTGAGTGAGTGAAAATGCCAAATTGGGTTACCGGGACACATGCGGACGGTCCCACTGGGAGCTTCGGTGGAGCCCCCTATGGGGCCACGAAGCGCTGTACTGGGTGGGTGAAAATGCCAAATTTCATTTCCCGGACGCATACGGACGGTCCCACTGGGGGCTTCGGTGGAGCCCCTATGGGGCCACGAAACGCTGCACTGGGTGGGTGGAAATGCCAAATTGGGCTTCCGGGGCGCATGCGGACGGGGGCACTGCGGCCTTCGGTGGAGCTCCCTATGGGGCCACGAAACGCTGTACTGGGTGGGTGAAACGCAGGGAGGAGGTGGAGGAGGGCCACGAAACGCTGTACTGGGTGTGCGGGACGTATGCGGACGGTAGCGCTGGGGCCTTCGGTGGGGCTCCCTATGGGGCCACGAAACGCTGTACTGGGTGTGCGGGACGCATGCGGACGGTAGCATTGGGACCTTCGGTGGGGCTCCCTATGGGGCCACGAAGCGCTGTACTGGGTGGATGAAACGCAGGGAGGAGGTGGAGGAGGGCCACGAAACGCTGTACTGGGTGTGCGGGACGCATGCGGACGGTAGCACTGGGACCTTCAGTGGAGCTCCTCATGGGGCCACGAAATGCTGTACTGGGTGTGCGGGACGCATGCGGACGGAAACACTGGGACCTTCGGTGGGGCTCCCTGTGGGGCCACGAAACGCTGTGCTGGGTGGGTGCAACGCAGGGAGGACGGGGGGGAGGGCCACGAAACGCTGTACTGGGTGTGCGGGACGCATGCGGACGGTGGAGGAGGAGGGGGAAGAGGAGGAGAGAATGAGAACGCGGGGACCATCTCTTCAAAACGAGGACCCAACACCACAGGATGATTTGGAAAAATCAGGACGGCTAGTTTTTAAATATTTTCGACCCTCGAGGGCCCTCGCGGGGCCCCGGGACCGTCAAAGAACGACTCAGGATGAAAAACCGGTCCCGGGGAAAGGGTCGGGACTTCAGGGACGCCGTCCTGAAACACTCAGGACGTCGCTTGTTTGGGTCTGCATCCCGATCCGATGTCGTCCCGATCTTGGCCTTCGTCCCCAGAGATCCGAGGTCTTGTCTTGTTTCGTTGCGGGGTCCCCGGGAAGGCCCGACCGTATTACCCAAAGGATTCGTTTTTCGCATCCTGTTCCTTTGGTCACGGTCGCCGGCCCGCACACGGCCCCCAGCGGCCGAGAGTGGCGAAGTGGATCCGCTGTTTTTGCTCCATGGGTGGGAGGGCTGGGTTTTTTGTTGCTTCCCTGTTTCCACCAGCACTCGCCAGGTGCTGGGCCAATCTTCCACCACCGCCATCACATACGTAGGACGGGGGAGAAGGGAGGATGAGGAGGTCCTCCTCCTCCTCCTCCTCCTCCTCCTCCTCCTCCTCCTCCTCCTCCTCCTCCTCCTCCTCCTCCTCCTCCCTACATGTTGTAGGGGTGGTGGAAGATGGGCCCATCACGAGCGCAAGACGTGGGAGGCCTGCTCGCCTGGAGCATCGGCCCAGCAAAAACAAGCGGCACCACCCCACCTGCGGCCCTCCATGCCGTGCTGCGGCTCACCGGGGGCCGAAGCGTACAGTGCGTACGATCCCGCGCCGGATGTTCTGGTATACGGTAAGGCCCGTGGGGCCGCAGGTGGGGTGGTATCGTTTTCGTCCCTGGTCCAGAGCAGTGCGGCGCGGCAGCGCTGAGGTCTTCGCGGGCTGGGACAGCAGTCTGCTGCTGCTCGCCCTGGCCGTGAACACCGCCCAGGGCTGGCTGGTCGGCCGGGTCACCCAGCGCTTCTCGACGGCGCCGCGGGGCCCCCGCTGCGCTGGCCCGCAGCTCGCAGCTGCTCGCTGCCTTCCCGCTCCTCGTCCCCGGGCCCCCTCGCGTCGCGAAGGGAACACATACGGTCGCACCGAGGTGCAAGATCGAGGTATGTTCGGGGAGAGTGCCCTCATGTTCTTCGTGCTCGTTGGATGATCTTGTGCATCCCTCGGAGGGTGCCATGTTCTTGCAAGACATTCGTCTGTCCTGAGTCCGCCTGTTTTTATTTCGAGCGATCCCCGCCCGAGAAAGCGAGGCGGGATACGAGGGGAGCACCCGGCCCCTTGGGACCTCGCGGCTGCAGTTTGCAGTCGTCGCTCGTCGAATGCGTGAGGCGGTGGGCCCAGGGGAGCCCCGTGGACCCTCGGGGCCTGGCGGATGTGGTAGTTTTGCAGGTTGCGGGAGGAGGAGGAGGAGGAGGAGGAGGAGGAGGAGGAGGAGGAGGAGGGGAGGAGGAAGAGGAGGAGGAGGAGGAGGAGAGGAAAGAAGGGAGGAGGAGGAGGGAGGAGGAGGAGGAGGGATGCGGAGGAGGAGGAGGAGGAGGAGGAGGAGGAGGAGGAGGAGGAGGAGGAGGGAGGAGGAGGGAGGGGAGGGAGGAGGAGGGAGGAGGAGGAGGGAGGAGGAGGAGGAGGAGGAGGAGGAGGAGGAGGAGGAGGAGGAGGAGGAGGAGGAGGAGGGAGGAGGAGGAGGAGGAGGAGGAGGAGGAGGAGGAGGAGGAGGAGGAGGAGGAGGTGGAGGAGGAAGAGGAAGAAGAAGAAGAATAATAATAATAATAAGAAGAATAATAATAAGAAGAAGAAGAAGATGGAGAATAAGAATAATAATAATGATAAGAATAATAATAATAAGAAGAAGAAGAATAAGAAGAAGAATAAGAAGAATCAGAAAAAGAAGAAGAAGAATAATAATAATAATAATAAGAAGAAGCAGAATAACAATAAGAAGAAGAATAAGGAGGAGGAGGAGGAGGAGGAGAATAAGAAGAATAATACTAAGAATAAGAAGAATAAGAAGAAGCAGGAGGAGGAGGAGAAGAAAAAGAAGAAGAATACGAAGAAGAAGAAGGATAATAATAATAATAATAATAAGAAGGAGAAGAAGAAGAAGAATAATAAGAAGAAGAAGCAGAAGAAGAAGAATAATAAGAAGAAGAATAAGAAGAATAATAATAATAAGAAGAAGAATAAGAAGAAGAAACAGAAGCAGAAGAAGACTACTAAGACTAATAAGAAGAAGAAGCATAAGAAGAAGAAGAAGAATAAGAAGAAGAATAAGAAGAAGACGAAGAAGAAGAATAAGAAGAATAATAATCATAATAAGAATAATAAGAATAATAATAATAAGAAGAAGAATAAGAAGAAGAAGAAGAAGAATAAGCAGAAGAAGAATAAGAAGAAGAAGAAGAAGGAGGAGGAGGAGAAGGAGGAGGAGTAGGAGTAGGAGGAGATGGAGGAGGAGGAGGAGGAGGAGGAGGAGGAGAGGAGGGGGAGGAGGAGGAGGAGAAGGGAGGAGGAGGAGGGGCAGGAGGAGGAGGAGGAGGAGAGGAGGAGGAGGAGGAGGAGGGAGGAGGAGGAGGGAGAGGAGAGGAGGAGGAGGAGGAGGAGATGGAGGAGAGAAGAAGATGGAGATGGAGGAGGAGATGGAGGGGGAGATGAAGGAGGAGATGGAGGAGGAGATGGAGGAGGAAAAGGAGGGAGAGGAGGAGGAGGAGAGGAGGAGGAGGAGAGGGAGGAGGAGGAGGAGGAGGAGGATGGGGATGGGGGAGGGGGAGGGGGAGGGGGAGGGGAGGGGGAGGGGGAGGGGGGGGCGGGTCGGGAGGTTCCGAAACAAAAACATCTAACCACTCCGCGGGGAGTCGCGTGGCCCTCGTGGTTGTTCGTGTGGTTCCTCGGGGCCCTCAGCGGGCCCCCATGGGCCGTCGAAACAGTTCGGGTACGGAAGCCGGGTCCCACGGAAGAGGCCGCGATCCGTCGGGGATCCCGCAATGAGTGAGTCATAATATCGGATGTCCAGTTCGTAGTCTTCCCTCCCTGGCCTCGCAGAGCAAACACGTGATCCCTGCAAACAGGCATCATAGATCTTCGCAGGCCCTCTCGACGCAGGGGCCGGCGCCCCCCCCCGATCCAAGACGCTGACATCAGGGCCGTTGACATCAGGACCACCCTGGGTTCAGGAGGGGTGATTGTTGTTCGGGCCGTTCCTTGGGTCCTGTTGGACCTGGCGCCGATCTCCACAGCCATGTTTGTTTAATACATTGTATCTATATATATACTTATATATATATATATATGTATGTATCATCTTCTCGTTCCCGAGTGAGGACCGGCTTGGGTTCAGGAGAGGGTGCTGTTTGCGGGCCGCTCCCTGGTTCCTGGCGGGGGAGCCTCTCCGCGGCCGCCGCTCGCCGAAGCCAGAACAGCCCTCTTCGCTCCTCATCTACGGTTGTTCGCGTTCCGGGGGGAAAGGTATCAATTCATCATCGTCGGCACCATCCCCACAGTCTCTAAGGCAGAAGAAGTTGACTATTCCAACGTACCCCCTCCAGGTGGGGATGGGTGCCCCGAAACCCGAAGGACACGGTACCTATCCCCACCTCAGGGGGCAGACTGCCCAGTGGGGCCAAAGTCTCCCTGGTGGGGGTGGGTATTGTATTTTTCGTCCAGATCAATGAACGACACGCCGCCGCTGTGATCTCATCAACGTGGTACCCCTCAGTTTTTGTCAGAAAGCCCAGTGCCTCTTTGACAGGAACGCTCTGGTGTTCTCCCCACGGCAGCATGTCATTGATAATGTGTGTTGCTCCCGCAGTGAAAGCACAACGACTGCTTGTTCTGAAAAGTCACAGTGATATCACGATCGAGAGTGCAATCCTGAAACGGTGCGGGCTCTCATCCGTGCAGCCAGGGCCCCGTTCGATCCAATCCGAAGCAGGTTCGATGCCGATCTCAGCTGGCCCGATCCGACCCGATCCCGATGTCCCAAGGCGAAATCGGGCCCGACAATCCAACGGGGCTAGGACCCGAAGACATTGCTCCATAGCGTTCAAGAGCGCCCTCAATGTGTTCTGCAACGCTGTGAAAACGCCCGAAGCATCTTCCAGAACCGCCAGATCCGAGCGAACCCTGTTTGTCCACGGCCGATGTTGTCCCGGTCCTGGCCCCCCCTCCCTCCTCCTCCTCCTCCTCCTCCTCCTCCTCCTGCTCCTCCTCCTCCTTCTTCTCCCCTCCTGCCCCTCCTCCTCCCCCCTCCTCCTCCTCCTCCTCCTCCTCTCCCTCCTCCTCTCCTCCTCCTCCCCTCGTCCTCCTCCTCCTCTCTCCTCCTCCTCCTCCTCCCCCTGCTCCTCGTCCTCCTCCTCCTCCTCCTCCGCTCCCCCTCCCCCTCCCCCTCCTTCCCCTCCCCCTCCTTCCCCTCCTACACAATTACTCAATATGAATACTACTCTCCCTCTTCCCCTGATGACGACCTGGGAGTGTCCGACCCCCCCTCCGCGTACAGTTTTTCTACACAGGTTTCCCCGGAGTTGGGTTTTCGCCTCCATTTTTTCTCAAAGTACTGCTCTCGCTGAGGCGCCGGCCTCATTTTCGGGCCCCGCTCGTTCCGAATCGTGCTCCCGCTGCAGCGCTGGCCTCATTTCCGTGCTTCCGCTCGTTCCGAATCGTGCTCCCGCTGCAGCGTTGGCCTCATTTCCGCGCTTCCGCTCGTTTCGACTCCTGCTACCGCTGCAGCGCTGGCGTCATTTCCCGTGCCATGCCACGGCATGCACTGCAATGCTAGGTTGATGCTACGCTTTGCGGTGCTCTTCTAAGCCATGCCATGCCGTGCTCTACAATGCATCGCGTACCCATCATTGCCTTGCTCGACATCCGACTGAGTGAGTAGAGAGGGGATCTGCGCCATGGTAAGGGATGGGAGGGAGGGGTAGGATGTCAGATATGACGCGAGCGCACCTAGCTTGCCCCCCTCCCCCTCCTCCTCCCCCTCATGCTCGTCTTGCAATGCGTCTCGATGGTTCCACGGCGTTGTTGGGCATCCTGGCTCCTGTCACGGAGCTGGGCTGGGTTCCCGACGGATTGCCGCCGCCGCTTCCTCCCTCGCCCACGGAGGTCACGCAACGGGGTCCCCCTTGCGGCATAGCAAGGGGTTCTAGAGAAAGCGGCGGGGCTCCGTAGCACGCCCCAGGCTCTGAAGGCGGCTTGGTTAAGATTCTGGGTGGGCTGCTTAGAAGCCCCTCCACCTTAGAAGGTCGTCCCCTCGAGAAGTGACATAGTATATGTAGATGTGTGTACATGTATATGTATATGTAGCTGTTCATGTATATGTTTAGGTTTATGATTACATGTGTACATGTATAGGTATATGTATATGCATATGCATGTGCAAATGAAGATGTAGTTGTATATGTACATGTACATGTATATGTATTTGTATATGTATATGCATACGTATATATATATATATATATGTATATGTATATGTACATGTATATGTATATGTATATGTACATGTATATGTATGTGTATATGTATATGTGTATGTAAATGTATACGCATACGTATGTGTATGCGTATGTGCATGTGCATGTGTATATACATGTGTGTGTAGAAAGAAAGAGAGAGAGACAGAGAGAGAGAGAGAGCGAGAGATAGATAGACAAAACAAACACCAATCATCTAAACAAAGGGCGATCGCCCCCCTCGCGCCACCCCCTTGCGGGCGCAGCCAACTTGACGCGCAGACTGCGGGGGCCCGCCTCGCCCCCCCCTCGCCCGGGGCCAGGGCCCCGTCACGAGTCGTCACCAAGCCGCCAGCGCATTGGCGTAAACAACATGTAACATACGCATGCTTTTGGCCGTGTTCGGGCTCTGGGGGCGGGGGGGGGCGCGTAATTGCCGGGCTCCTCGGGGCCGCCAGGGAACGGCTGAGGATGACAAGGCAGGGCCTTGGGAGGGGGCCTGGGGAGCTGCGCTGTGAGAAAGCCACGACGTCGGATGTCAGGGGCAACGTTGAGAGGGGGAGGGGGTAGGGAGGCTCAGGGGGGGATGCATCGACGTCCAATCGCTTTTCGGGGGCCTGTTCCGAGCTGAGACACCCATCGACACCCATCCACACCCAGTCCCCAATGGCCCACCCGCCCAAGACCGCTCGGTTTCGCCATCGGGGGCCTATGGCCAATCTGCCAGCGATGCATCGCCGATGCCAGCTCGGTGTTGCCCCCCTGAGCCCGCCCCTCCCCGTCGCTCCCACTCGGCCTCAGTCAGGGCTGGGGTCTCGTCCTGGACAGTTTTTGTTTCTCCCCCGCCCCGACAGGTTGGGGCTGCTAGATGTCAGGAGAAGGGTTCCTTGCCCGCCTCGTTCGCCCTAAGCACAGGGCAGGGCCTGCACGTTGTGTTGCGGGACTTCGGCGGTGTTTTGTTTTTCTCGGTTGTGGCAGGCAGGTGCAGGAGAACAGGCAGGGCAAAACGCAAAACAAAACGACACCAACTCGAAGCACAACGTTGAGGTCCAGCCCCGACCTTGCATGCATACAGCGGACGCCAGTCCCCAGAGCCCCCTTTCCCTTTCTGGGCATCTCGCCTCGCGGCGAGGGGCGACTGCACACGGCGGCCGCAGTGCCCAAAGCGTGCTGGCGTTCCCTGGGTACAGTTGAGGCCCATGCCAAGAAACACCCTGCTTGCCTCCAGGGTGCCCTGAGCTTCGATGGTTTTGCCAGCGAAAGCGTGACGTTCCCTCACCAAACATCCATGAGCATCCTAGGGTCTCAGGGTTGGGTGTCTTGTGGAAGGTTTGCTGGCGGCTGGCCTCCACTGTATCCCGCCTCGCGTTCTTGGCTGTGGATCTTTCGAAGCAGCAGAATTGGCAGCCCCGCGGTCCAGAAGGGGTCAGGCACTCTTGCAGGCCGGCCGGTCGTGGTTCTCGTCTTTCGGTTGCGCCCAGCGTTCTGGGACCCTGCACGAGGTGCACCGGGCCATCGCCGATTCCTTCAGCCTGCTGGCTATCTATCCGGGAGGCCTGTCGGCAAGCGCGCCCGCTGATCCCCCTTGCAGAAGATGCAGGTGGCGAGGCGATGATGAGCCAGCGCTTCCCTGATGTAGGGTGCTGCGTATGCCCGCAGCGCCACTGGGGCCGGCGCCATCGATGCTTTGAGCACCCCTTGGTGCGAACACGAAGCCGTCATCCCTATGTACAAGAGGAATATTCAAGAATTGTAAAACATGTCAGGGGACGATGTTTGGATTTGGAGTATTTTTTGATAATTGCCCAGTATGTTCTCAACATTCCTATGACCTCGTCAAATTGTTCAATTGTTCTCAACATTTCTCAATAATGTTTTCGTCCAAAAAGACCTCACGCTGAAACGCGAAGACGAACACGAAGCCTCGCGCTGCCCTTTACCCTTGGTGCGAACACGAAGCCTCGCGCTGAAGCGCAAGCTGGGCCCCCCGCCGCCGCGCTGTGGGCGGCACGGCCGCGCGGGCGGCAAGGCCGTCCTGTTCTTGAGGGGTCGTGGGCGGCGGCGCCGGCTGGTCGATCGAAGGAGAAACACAGTGCGCAGCCGAAAGTCTTCCGAGGTCCAAGACAACACGAGTGCAGACGGGGGAGGAGGAGGAGGAGGAGGAGGAGGAGGAGGAGGACGAGGAGGGGACGGCCTAGTGGGAGGGGGAGGGGGTGGGGGAGGAGGAGGAGGAGGAGGAGGAGGAGGAGGAGGAGGAGGAGGAGGAGGAGGAGGAGGAGGAGGGGGAGTAGGAAGCGGAGGAGGAGGAAGAGGAAGAGGAGGAGGAGGAGGAGGACCAGTGGAAACCCAAGAGTCATCAACGATGTTGGAATTAACCCTCCCTCCAACGTCTCTCTTCATAAGCCTCTACAACGCTTCATTGCCATGGAGGGAACTGCCTCGTTTGAAGACAACAGTTTGAAAATTCTGGAGGAATGGAGGAGGAATGGAGGAGGAGGAGGAGGAGGAGGAGGAGGAGGAGGAGGAGGAGGAGGAGAGGGAGCACGGGGAGGAGGAGGACAACATCAAGGCGATGCAGTACAAGGACAGAGGGAATTCGGTGCTTCTACCTACGCAGCCGCACTCCTTCAAAAACTATTGTCGATTGAAGGAGAAACAGTGTACAGTCGAAAGTTTTCCGAGCAATGCCGTAAACCTACAATTTCGGAGGGGTCCGCGCGGATTTCTCGGATCGGCGCTGGGGCCCCCCGGCGGCGCCTCCGGCGCCGCCCCTGGCGCGCGCAGCGCGCCAGCGAGGGGGTCCAGCGCCCATCCGAGAAATCCGCGCGGGCCTCCGAGTTTGTATGTTTATGTCATTGTCCGTTCCTCTAAAGTTAACATGAGTGGACAGTATCAAGGCGATGCAGTAAAGGACAGAGACTTCGGTGCTTCCATCCACGCGCACCAGCAATCGTTCAAAAACTAGCTAATCCAGTCTCGTGCCACAGGCTGCGTTGAGCAGACAGACGAGGAAGCATGGGACAAAACAGAGGAAGGGGAGGGACGGACAACAGTCGTGCTGCACCATGTGGCGACGCAGCGCCCATGCGCACCCCTTGTACGGATCGCTGGAACGACGTTCTGGTTCGGTTCCGCTGGAGCGTGTTGAGAAGAGTAGCATGGACAGCAACACTAAACATTCCATCCCGCCTTCGCAGCATACACTCGCCTGAAGCTGTTTCGTTGCGTCCGTGTGTAAACAAAGGGTGACTCCTGCATGAGTGGCCACATTTTTCGCAGTGTAGTGTCCTGTTCACGAAGCGGTAATGTACCATTGACTCATGCGTCACGGGGGCAACACATCTCTGGGCTTTGACTGGAGAAGCGGATGGTTTACCCCACGTTGGCAGGTTGAACTTGGCCAGGGATCGGCGAAAACCCAGCTGGATCATTTCGAGGTCATATCCCCGTTTCACTAAAATCATGGGAAACGATAACAATTCAGAGTCTCGTCCTTACGTGGCGGCGCCGCCAGCGCCTCTCTTGGCCCCCATTTGCACGCCAGTGAGGGGGTCCGAGCGCCGATCAGGAAAACCCTGCGGGTTTTCTAAAGGTAATGTTTGTTCAGTGTTATGCTTTCTCGCTTTTTCTGGTTCAGGATGGCGGGCCCACCAAACATATTCAAACACACAACACATCGCGCCTCGATAATGAGGGGCTCTCGCGGACTTCGTGGCCGACCCCCTCTTCAACGGCGCGAGCCTCGGCAGCGTGAGCCTCAACCTGGTGGCGTTCATCCCGGGCGGTGCAAGTTGGGCGTGCGGGGAGCGGGCAGGGTGGGATCCGCCCGGCTCCCCTTTTCAAGCAGTTGCGAAGCGTCCTCGGCTGCCTTTAGCCCCACCCACACATGTTCGAATAACCTCTTGTGGCATGTAGAGCATGTTCTTCGATCTGTTCTGAAAAAGCTACTCTTGTATTCATTGCCTTGGTTCTGAGAGCATTCCGTGGTAGGCCTACAGGAATTTTCGGACGGTTTGTCTCTGCTCAACCTTCACCCCCCACCAAACCACCCCAACCCAACCCGAAGGCCGCCACTTGCCCTCCATTCTCAGTGGGGGTGTCGGGGAACATTGAAACACACATATGAAGCCCATACCCCCCCGGACCCGAAATTCTGGTCTTCGGGTTGGGTTGGGGTGCCCTGGTAGTAGGTAGTCAAACCTTGGGCTTCCCGTCTTGCTGGGGTTCGGTCGGCGTCTTCCCCCCAGAGGGGGGGGAAGGAGGAGGAGGCGGCGCAGGAGGAGGAGGCCGAGGACGAGGACGAGGACGACGACGACGAGAGCAGGACGAGGAGGAGGAGGAGGAGGAGTTGAAAGAGTTGGAGGAGGATGAGGAGGAGGAGGAGGAGGAGGACGCTGCGGCGTCCGCCGCCGCGCTGCGGCTTCCGAGCGGCAAGGGCGCGAGGGAAGGGGCAGCCCAGGGCTTCGGGCAGCGCTCCCAGACCTTTGGCGGGTTGGTTTACTCGAGGGCAAAGTTGTCGGAGGAGGCAAAGGTATACCGATACCGCCCTCCTCGCCTCGCGGCCCCTTTTTTGAGCCTCCTGGGCGGCCCTCCTCCCCACCGCTGGATCCGCCTCGAGACATCCGTGTCAGAACGCGCCCCAGGCGAGGTCCGAGGAGTAGCGGTATCGGTATCTCTTGGTTTCCCCACGTGCAGCGGCCAGGGGAGAAAAGCGTGTGGATATCGCTACCCTTCGCTCGTCTTCCACTCTTCGGGCCCCCTGGGAGATCGCCAGGGCTCGACTCGCCTCGAAATTCTGTTCGGAACGCACCCCGGGAGAGGTCCGGGGGGGGGCGGCATCGGCACCTTTGGTTTCCCCACGGGGGGGTCGGCTCAGGAGGGAACGCATCGACCCCCAGTCGCCCACCGACAGCCGATGGGGGCCCGAGAGCCTTCCCCGCCCAGGAACTTGCGGATCCACAGTGGGTGGCCTGTCGCAGACCTATCGGCGATGTAATCGGCATGTTCCCTCCCTGAGCCGGTCCCCCCCTTGCGGTCCGCCTCGTTTTATCAGGCCCGGTCTCGGAGGGCCTTCCTCGGGCCGCACGGACCATCAAAAGCAGTTCCAGAGTTGCTACCTGTCGCCCGTTGAAAGACGGTGTTCGTGGATTCGCAGATCCCAAGATGGTTTTAGGAGCCTTCCTGTTTCAAGTGGCGAGGCTTTCTTGCTCCTTCCCCTTCAGGGGTTGGGCGGAAGCTCAACATACTCTCGGCGCCGTCCTCCTTCCGACCGACGGGTCAGCGAACTGGGGGAGGGGCCGAGAGAATTTTGGGCCCTGCGGGGTCAGGAGAAATCACGACGTCAGAGGTATTTGGCTCGGCCACGCGCAGATGGGGGGTAACCCCGTTAGGGGGAGGGGTTAGAAGCTTCCCTGTTTCTTAGAAGGCGCTGGCCTTCTCTATAGACGTAAGGCGGGGGCCTTCTAAGAGGCAGGGTGCTTCTAAGAAGCCTTCCCCTCCCCCTACCCCTCTCTGCGCGCCGCCAACTGGCATGGAGTGCCCGCCCGAGAGCTAACTGCGTGCCCGAGAACTAACTGCGTGCCCTCTCGAAGTCGAGCTCGCCCTCAGGATTCGGTGCAGCACTTGTTTTTTTTTCCGAGACGTCGAGCTTGGCCACAGACGCGCACAGAGCTCCTCCCGGGGAGCCTGGTGCGCAGGCCCTCCCTGACCCCGCGAGACGGGACGCCCCCGCCGATCCGCTCCCGCTTCCGCTTCCGGTTCAGATCTTCGACCGTTTGTTTCGGCAATGTGCCCTTGGCCCAGACATGCTCGCTCGTTCGTTCGTTCGCAAGCCATGTCGCACGACACATCGGCTCAGCAGGGGAACAAATCCTTACCGCGCAGGATAAGCGGCAATCGTATATTACACTAATGGAAAGGCCATATTGTTTGACAATTGCTTTCCAGATTGGCTATCTACGCGCAGTGACAAAATTCAGGATCCGAGGTTTTTCGCAGGGTTCGACCACCAGGGGCCCTCGCTGGGCCCTGTCACCGTCAACAAAACGATTCGGGATGAGACACACGACAATGGGGAAGGGGTCGGGACTTCGGGGACCCCGCAGTGAGAGAAAAGCCAGACATCGAATGCCGACTTCACCCCGGGGCCGCTCTCTGACGGTCCCGGACTCCCGACGTCGACGGACAAGAGACGCTCGCGGATCTTTCGGCTCGGCGCCGAGCCCCGTTGGGCGACGCCTCCGGCGCCGACACCCGTGCGCTCCGCGCGCCAGGCCAGGGGGGGCGCAGTGCCGATCCATGAATCCGCGGGCCTCCTCCTCCTCCTCTCCTCCTCCTCCTCCTCCTCCTCCTCCTCCTCCTCCTCCTCCCCCTCCTCCCCCTCCTCCACCCCCTCCCCCTCCTCCTCCTCCTCCTCCTCCTCCTCCATGAATCCGCGGGCCTCCATGAATCCGCGGGCCTCCATGGCCCAGACGACATCCAGGCGTTCCGATTCTTTCGAGACACGGGCACCCGGCCCCTCGACCACTTCACCACCCACCACGCCACCCCAACCCAACCCGAAGGTCTCAATTTGCCCTCCATTTCCAGTGGGGGGGGGGTCGGGGAACACTGACCAAATACATGGAACCCGTACCCCCCCCAACCCGAAATTCGGGCGAAATTCTGGTCCTCGGGTTGGGTTGGGGTGGTTTGGTAGGTGGTCACCACTTCCGCGGGAACCCTCGGCCCCGAGGCCTGGCAAGGGCCCCGAGATGCCGAAAACGATGACCCACCCCTGTCTCGATGTCCCCGAGGCGCCAGATGTCTGGGCGACACGGTGGGGCCTCGACCATCTCGAGGGCCCCCAGAGGGGGTTGGGGCAGCGCCCCGTGCTTGCACCCGCCCGGCCATCGTGCCCCTCAGCACCGCCACCTTCGCGGTCGCCACCTCCGAGATGCAGAGGCCGCGGGGCGGGCGGGCGAAAGGATGGGCGGGGAGCCGGATTCCACCGCAGACACGCGAACGGCGATGTAGGTTTAAGTCGGGCGTGCCCCTCTCTCTATAGGAGGAAGGTTCAAACTTCGTCCAAAATGGTATGGGGACGATTTTCCATGATTTTCGTTGTTTCTGGGATATGTTTCGACTATTTCTTTTTGTCCACTAAAATCCGCCTGTAGGGGAACATGCCCGACCTAAATGTAGGTAACGGCGATGTAGGTTTCGGTGTTTTAGGTGGGGTTGGTTCGTGGCCGAACCCATTGTGGGAAAGCGCGGTTCTCGCTGTCCTACCACTCGCCGTGCAATTGGTTTCCTCGGTGCATTCGCGTAGCTGGAGTGGGATTGACCTGGGTCAGTAGCTCCCCGAGCTCAGTCCGCGCCCCCTCGGAGTCCCAGGTAGCCCCAGCTGGCCTCAACGGGCCCCCCGAGTAGTTTCAGCTGGCCTCAACAGGCACCCCGAGTGGCCGGGGCGGTCTCAACACCCCGTCGCCGCCTCCCGCGGCGCCCCGTGGGGGTGTTGAGACCGCCCCCGACTACTCGGGGTGCCTGTCGAGGCCAGCTGGGACTGCTGACTGCCAGGGGAACTGACTGCCAGGGTCTGCAATCCAAGAAACCCGCGCGGAGCGCCAAAAGTTTCTGTCCGTGGCGTTTGTTCTTCTTCGAAGGGCGCCGCAGGCTCGGGGAGGCGTGCGGCCCGTTGGGCCTATTGAGGCCAACCAGCACTACAGTCAACCCGCATAGGCCGGATGGGGATCCTTCCCACGGGTACCCTTTCATCCTCGCCTGCTCGGTCCATCCTTGGCCACTTTCGTTGGCCGCGCCCAGCTCGATAAGCTTCGCAACGGGCCTTCCGAGGCCCTTGCATCCTCATCGTGCGTCTTTACGGTGCGGGCCGACCGTACCTGGGGGGCCGGCTGTACCTGGGAGGGCTGCGGCCGAGTGGGCTCAGCCGTCGAGTGGAATCGGGATGGGACCATGGGGTCCGCCACCCTTCGGGGCCACTCACGGCGGTCCGACCTCGAGCCGATCCGATCCGATGCACGAGTCGATGCCGTCTTCGGCCTGCAGGGGCTGAGCCCAAGCTGCGATGCCAGACGATCCCGATGCTCCGATGCCGATCCGTTTCTCAGAAGACGAAACTGCATACACATAACTTCTGTTGCTCCGGCGCTTCACTGGCCCTCCTGGCGCGCTCCGCGCACCAGGGAGGGGGGTCCAGCGCGGATCCAAGAAACCCGCGCGGAGCGCCAAAAGTTTCTGGTGATGCACTTTTTCGTTCTCATGTGTCACGACTCGACCCAGACCAGACCGGATTGACTCGTCGGCCAGGCCTCCGATGGAACGTCTGGCGCCCTATGAGGGGATATGCGCGACGACTTCGCGGCAGGCACGGCGCGCGTCGTGCCAGCCATGTAGGTCTCGAGCCCGCGATCCGGCGATGCGAGGGAGGAGCAGCAGGCCCTACACTTAAGTGGGGCATGTCCCTCTACAGGAGTCAAAAATAGTGAAGAACTAGTCAGGGGACGATTCTTCTATGATTTTGGTATATGTTGAGACTTCTTTGGGCTATTGTTCATTTTTCTCTGAAGAATTGCCTGTAGGAGGACATGCCGACCTAACCTTCCGTTCCATGCGGTGGGGGAGAGGCCGGTGACTGGCCTGCCAGGGCAAGGACAGATCGTTCCAGTGCGTTTTGGAGCTCTCTGGAACGCCCGCGGCGACCGGTAGATCCTCCAGAATTACCCGATGCTGGAGATTCCCAGTCCGTGTTTTTTTCTCGGTCTTGGCTTCATGGAGGAGAGGGTCGGGCGGACGGCCTGGCGGTGGCAGCTCGCGTGGGGGGTCGAGGATTGTAGAAATGTGCCCCCAAAGTTAAGTCGGGCGTGTCCCTCTAGAGGAGGGAAATTCAAAAATACAATACTGACAAAAACAGTCTGGGGACGATGTTTTGAACATGTTTTGAATATGCTTGAGTATTTGGGGCATTTTCAATTTTTCCTCCAAGCTCCGCCTGTAGGGGGACATGCCCGACCTAACCCTGAATGGGCCCTAAACGGCCACTATCTCCCACCGCCGGCCCAGAGGTGCACTGAAGGCGCACGTTCCTTCACCCCGCGCTCCTTGGCCCTTCACGATCGAACACCAGAGAGGGATGTGACGCGGGAGAGCGAGAGTCGTAGACGTGCAATGGGTGATGGGCAATTTTTCCACCACCACTACCATACGCAGGACGGGGGAGAAGGGAGGATGAAGAGGTCCTCCTCCTTATCCTCCTCCTCCTCCTCCTCCTTCTCCTCCTTCTTCTCCTCCTCCTCCTCCTCCTCCTCCTCCTCCCTCTTTAACTATGGTAACTGGTGGTGGAACAAGGGGCCCATCAAGAGAGGTGTGATGATTGGGAGTTTGGATATCATGGCCGGGGCCACGATATCTCCCGGATGTCATGGCCCCCTCTTCTTTTTTGGACACGTCCCCTGGTCTCGCTGTGCCGCGCACGAGCGTGCCTCGGGCCATGATTTGCGATTCCCCTCTTGGACGCCCCCTTCTTGGACTCGAGGACGAACACACTGCGTCAACACAAACTGTTGAAGCTCTCCGCGGATTTCTTGGATCTGCGCTGGACCCCCCTCCGTGGCGCGCGGAGCGCGCCAGGGGAGGCGCCGCTAGGGGGGCCCAGCGCCGATCCTGAGAACTCCGCACGGAGCTCCAACAATTTATGCGCCCGCCGTTTCTCGTTCCTCTATGGACGCCCCTGGGATCATTAAGCACCCCTCATACCACAATGAATTCGTGGCCTGTCTTAGGTGCACTGTTTTACGGACATTGTGACATCCCCAATCGTACGGGTGGTTTCGTCTGACACATCTGCAAAACAAGCCTTCCAAATCCCTAATGCTTTTGTTGGCCCCATCCCTAATGCTTTTTTGGCCCTCCCCACGCAGGTCCCCTTCAAAAGGCTCAGGGGTCCTTATGTTTTGTTTCTCCTGCGGGCAGGGAGGAGGGAGGAAGGAAGGAGGAGGAGGAGGAGGAGGATGAGAAGGAAGGTTATTGTGGAGGATGAGGAAAAGGAGGAAAGATGATGTGAAGGAGAAGGTGGCAGGTGTGTGTTCCTTTATTGCTTGGGGCATAATGGGCATTATAGCCCCCACCCCCCCTATAACGTAACGTCCCTCCCCCCCCCAGTTCGTTCCGGGCACTGCCGCCGTGCGCACGGCGGGGGGGAGGCGTTACATTATCGGAGGTTGCGGCGTTACATTATCGGAGACCCCTCCTACCGGGCAATCGATTTCGGTTTCGGGTACGTGTCGCGCGTGCCGTGCGTGCGGGCGGGCGAGGCGAAGCTGCGTGGGCGGGCGAGAGGAAATCCTCCTGTGGTTGGGCCGCGGCCGGACCAAATGTAACTCCTCCGGCGGCCGGTGCCCCGCGGTGTCCCCTCTGTGTCCCGCGGGTGTCCCGAAATCCTCCTGTGTCTGGGCCGCGGCCGGACCAAATGTAACTTGGCGACCGGTGCCCCGCGGTGTCCCGCCAGTGTCCCGCGGTGTCCCGTGGTGTCCCGTGATGTCCCGTGGTGTCCCGTTGAGTGAGATCGATACTGAGATCGATACTGAGATCGATGTGGTGCCCCGAGGTGTCCCGAGGTATCCTGTTGAGTGAGATCGATAGTGAGATCGATAGTGAGATCGACATGTATCCCGAGGTGTCCCGTGGTGCCCCGTGGTATCCCGTTGAGTGAGATCGATCGTGAGATCGATACTGAGATCGATGTGGCGCCCCGAGGTGTCCCGTGATGTTCCCGCTGAGTGAGATCGATGGTGAGATCGATCGTGAGATCGACAGGTGTTCCGAGGTGTCCCGAGGTGTCCCGCTGAGTGAGATTGATATTGAGATCGATCGTGAGATCGATACTGAGATCGATGTGGTGTCCCGAGGTGTCCCGTGGTGTCCTATAGTGTCCCGCTGAGTGAGATCGATAGTGAGATCGATAGTGAGACCGATAGTGAGATCGAGAGGTGTCCCGCGCTGTCCCGTGGTGGCCCGTGGTGTCCCGTTGAGTGAGATCGATAGTAAGATCGATAGTGAGATCGACAAGTGTCCCGTGGTATCCCGTGGTGTCCCGTTGAGTGGGATCGATAGTGGGATCGATTGAGTCAGATGTTGGTTCCCCCCCCTCCCCCCCCCGCAACCTCCTTATCACCCGAAGGGTGATCGTATAGGTACCCACCCTGGCCCCTCCCCCCCCCCCCCTATCATGCCCATTATCGTTATGATGTTCCAACCTATTTTAGCCTTGATCACCAGAGAGAAGTTCGAGCACCAAGAGAGTACCAAATTTGATGGTTCTCACGTGTCGGGCCCTGGGAGGCACTCGTCCGACACTGTCTCGACACTGTTTCGACACTCTTTTTTTGTTTTGGGTGCTCCTCAAGAAACAGTGTCGCCGGAAATGGGTCTTTCCGGGTTTCCTCCGGTACGATGGGAGCAGCATAACATTGTCGCCGGAAGTGAAGACACGCGCTCCACGGGGGGGGGGGGGGAGGCACGGGCCGGAGGAGCGCCCGCCCCCGGCTCCCAGGGTGATGAGCGCCCAGTCCAAGCTCGAGGGGCGGCGCCGCGGCCGGCCCGCGGGCCGGGCGCCGAGGTGCGAGCTGCCGCCCAGGAGCTGCAGGACCGCGCCCTCCCTGTTGCCAAGCAGTGGCGAAGCGTCCTGGCTCGCCTAGAGGCCTGCCAAACCATGTTCCAAGAACCTTTTTGTGGATTCCACGAAATTGTCTTAGAGCATTTCTGGCTGGGACTGTCTTGTTTTGACACATCGGGCTTATGTTCTAAGAACATTGTCTTTGCTCTTAGAACATTTCTGGGGTCTTAAAACGTGTCGTGGTAGACCTATAGAAATGCCGGGACGGTCGGTCCCTGCTCAATTGTTGCGGGGGGGGTGCCCAGGGCTCGTTTCGATTCCTCCGATTCGATTCGGTTCGATCTCGATGGATCCCGATCCCGATGCGATTCGGCTTCGGGTTTCGATCGGGATGCCGACTTCTCAATTGAGGCCTACACTAGCCTGCCGAAGTCCGCCGATTCGACTCCTCCCGACTCGGTTGCCGATTTCCTCCGATCCGATCCATTCGATTGCCGATCCGACTTATCGATTTGAGGCTCTCCTGGGCACCCGCACCTTCCCAGGTCAGAGGAGGTAGAGGTACCGATGCTTCGGTGGAAAATTACGCCGACGTCGCGGATGCATCGCCGACGTCCACGATGCATCGCCGATGTATCAGCGATGCGGTGCCATCCTCTGACCCCATCTACTTCGACTCTATCGAGGAGGCATCATCGATCTTGGTAGCCAAGCGCGGGAGCCTGGTATACTTTCTTCATTCCGTCGCCAGCGTCGATTCGCGTCGATCAGCGTCTGGGAGGCGACGAGATATATCGCCGATTTAGCATCGACTAGCGTCAATTAGCGTCGACCAGCGTCGATGCGCGTCGATCCGCAGGAGCCGGCAAGATGGTATGGGAGGCTCCCATGAGTTGCCACCGAACGATACCGCTACCTTTGCCTTGTTTTCCCCGTTTTTGGCCTCCTGGGAGGCCCTCGTCTACCGCTGGATGCGCCTCGGAATTCTTGTCAGAACGTTTTTTTTATGAGAGGTCCGTGGAGTAGCTGTATCGATACCTTTTTGGTTTCCCCAGAGAAGTGGGGTCGTGTGCGCAAGGGGGTAGGGGGAGGAGGGAAGGTTTCTTCGAAGGAGGCTGCCTTTTTAGAAGGCGCGGGCCTTGTCTATAGAGGCAGGGTCGACGCCTTCTGAGACGAAGCCTCCTTCTAAAAAGCCCCCCCCGTGCCGCCAGCAGATGAGCGACGCAGACAAGCAGGGCCGTGTGTGCGGACACTGGCGCGCAAGTTTGGAGAGTCCAGGTTTCGCTAGGGATTGGTTCTTATCCCACATGGCTGGTACCCTTCCGAATCCGGGAGGCTTTTCGGATGATTTCGGCAGGGTTTCGCTGTTTTTGGTGAAATCCTGTCCCTAAGCGTACGTTGCCCTCGCAAGGTTGCGCGTAAGAGCCGTCGTTTCCAATGTGGCGTCCCGCGTAAGCCACCGCGTAATGTCGCTATAAAGTCTCTCGGAATACCAGTATCTTTTCGTCGTTCAGATGGTGTTCGAGTAGATGTGGTCGGAGGATCGCGCCGCATCGCCGATGTATCGGCAATGCGGCTCGATGTGGAGCCCGATCTTCCACGCCGACGTCGACGATGCATCGCCGACGTCGCCGCTGCATCGCCGATGTATCGGTGATGCCTCGACGATGCGGCGCGATCCTCCGATCCCGTGTGCCACTCCGACCTCATTTGGGAGGCTTCCAGTAGGCTCAGGCGGGGGTGCATCGACGACGGTTTGGGAGGGATGCTCACGGAGGGCTCAGGCTTTCATCCCCCCATCAGTGCTTGCACTGAAGGGGTCCTATAGCGGATATTGAAAGATTTTGCGAAAGGGTCCCGCCGATTTTGGCGGCCAGTTGGGTGCCCGGGTTCCCGGTTTTGGTGTCCCGGGTTTATGGTTATTGGTTCCGGCCCGATTTCGGTGGGTTCCGGGTTCCCGGGTTCTGGGTCGATCTTTTTATCGATCTCTTTATCGACCCCACGATTCATTATCGATCTCATGATCGATCTCATCAAAACATCCATTTGTTGGGTATTTTCGTTGGTGTAATATTCCGTGGAGGGGCCCATCGGCTGCGCCTGGTCGAGAGCGTCCCAGGGGTGCTTGTGAATCGTCCCGGTCCACCGCTGGATCCCGTGTGCCACTCAACCCCACTGGGAGGCCTCTAGTTAAGAGGTGTAGGCTCAGGCGGGGGTACATCGACGACGGTTTGGGGGGATCGAACCCGGAGGCTCATGCTTTCATGTTTTCTTTCGCAGATCCAAGAAATCCGCGCGGAGCGCCAAAAGTTTTATGATTATGGCGTTTTTCTCCTCCTGTTTCGGACGTTGTCGAGACCCAGGGGAGCATCGGCTGCGCCTGGTCGGGGCGTCCCAGGGGTGCTGCTGACCCTTTTTTATACAGCAGCTGTTGGAATTCATTTGTGAATGCAATAATCATTTTGTTAATAAAAGAATGCGCCTGGTCGAGGGCGTCCCAGGGGTGCTTCTGAATCGTCCCGGTCGGCCGCCGGAGAGAGCCGAGGCTCGGCACGACGGCCGCGGGGCGACGGGAAGCACGGGGAGCGAAGCCGGACCAGAGGAGGCGGCCCTGCCGCCCCACGGGTCCAAAAGCCCGGGGATGTGCCGGCCCTCAAACACAGTGTTTTTTTTCTCGGGATCAAGGCTGAAACTATGCTGGCTGCGACGCACGCCGCGCCGGGCGGCTCACGGGCAAAAATGCTCACGGTTCGGCCGTACGTTGCGTTGATGTTTCCCCTTACCATGCATTAGTAACTACGACTCTGGTTGCTACATGCCTGCTTCGCAGACCTGTTTCGGGGGGGGACAGGCCCCCCACCCTGACACGCCGATTCGTGAATCGTTCGTTTTCGGCTCTCGAGAGGGCGCTGGCCGTCATTTTCCAGGCTTGCGCCCGCCAGCCAGGTTTGGGCCCTAGGTCGTTTTCACTAAACCACGTTTTACTAAAGGGGGGTCTGTCCATCTCCGATAGTTGCCGCTCCAGGGTTGGCTCTGGCCTCAGCGAGAGCGACTCGGAGTCGCTCGTGAGCGAGGCCAGCACCGGTACTTCGATAACGTCCATCTCGCTGGCGTCGGCGAAATCTCTGCGGGGACACTGCTGGTGAGCGGCGCTGGCGAGGGCATTTGGCAGGGACGTCGGGCGATGCCGCAACCGGCCGCCTGCCTCTCCCATTCCAGCGGTGCGCCGAGGGGGACAGGGTGAGTGTGGAGGGTTTCTCCGAAGGGCTTAGGCGACCCGTCCTCCTCCTACTCCTCCCCCTCCTACTCCTCCTCCTCCTCCTCTTCCTCCACCTCCTCCATATCCTCATCATCCTCCTCCTCCTGCTGCTCTTCCTCCTCGGGTCGCATACGGCCGCAGGGGAAGTCTTGCAGACAGGGCTTGTTGGGCAGCGGGCTTCTGTTTACCAGTTTGAAACATATCCCTGACCCTGTGTTTGGCATGTCCTCACCTCGATGCCGATCTTGAAAAGGATTCCCTCAGCTTCTGAGGCCTCGTCCTTAAGATTGCCATCGCTTTTTGCTCGCCCATCCTAGGGATGGGGATAAGTTCGAGGCTGGTTATCAGTGGGTGCTTCTGAAAATGGGGTAGGGCGAGTGTCGATGATCCTCAGGACTTGTGTTAGCCCAATGTGTATCAACCGCGTTCGGCCTGTGTCAGCCCTCGTTACGCCATGTGCGGCGTATTGAAGGGCTTCGATAGACCAGCACGCGTTGGCGCCAACACAAGTCCTGAGTATCGTCGAGAGTGGGGCAGGGGGCTTTTATGGGGCAGGGGGCTTCTGTTTACCAGTTTGAAGCATATCCCCATCCCTGTGTTTGGCATAACCTCACCTCGATGCCGATCTTGAAAAGGATTCCCTCAGCTTCTGAGGGGCTCGTCCCCAAGAATGCCATCGTTTTTTTGCTCGCCCATTCCAGGGATAGAGATCAAGATCGAGGCTTGTTATCAGTGGGTGCTTCTAAAATGGCATGGGAAGAAAGGAGGAGGAGGAGGAGGAGGAAGAGGAGGAGGGGGAGGAGGAGGCGCCAGGCGGAGGAGGAGGAGGAAGAGGAGGAAAAGGAGGAGGAGGAGGAGGAGGGAGGAGGAGGAGGAGGGGGAGGAGAGGGAGGAGGAGGAGGAGGAGGAGGAGGAGGAGGAGGAGGAGGAGGAAGGGAGACGGAGGAGGGGGAGGAGGAGGAGGAGGAGGAGGAGCAGAATGAGGAGGAGGAGGAGGAGGAGGAGGAGGAGGAGGAGGAGAAGAAGAAGAATAATGACGGGGAGGAGGCGGAGGCGAAGGCGGAGGAGGAGGAGGAGGAGGAGGGGGAAAAGGTGGAGGAGGAGAGGAGGAGGAGAAGCAGGAGGAGGAAGATAAGGGGGAAAAGGCGGAGGAGGAGGAGGAGGGGGAGGAGGGGGAGGAGGCGGAGGAGGAGGAGGAGGAGAAGGAGGAGGAGGAGGAGGGCCTGCGAGAGGCAGGGCGCCCTAGAGGGCCACCGGCCTCGCCGCCCCACCTCCCCGCCCACTTTGGTGGCGCGCCGCCAACAGCTCACCGAGCGCGCTCCGCTGCTCGCAGAGTGCCTTGCTCGCAAACGTTTGAAACAAAACACACCCTGAGATCCTGTCGTTGCAAGTTTTTCGCAACAGGGGTTTGAGCTCAATTTCGGGCCCCGGGACCCTCACAGATCGATCCGGGTCGAAAAATGACGCAGAAAGATGCGGTCCGGGGCTCTGGGCGTGATTTTTTGCGATGTTCAATTTTTGTTGCATTGTCGGATCTCAGGGCATGCCTGCTTCTATGCAATTGCACCAGGGAAAACCCCCAATAAGTGGATGGTTTGATCGATGAGGAGGTCGACCAGGATCCCAGGAACCCGGAACCCACCGAGATCGGGCCCGAACCAACGACCAGGAGCCCGGGAACCCAGAACAGGGAACCCGGGAACCCAGCCGGCCACCCAAATCGGCGGGACATTTCGCCAAATCTTTCAAGTTCCGCTAGGACCTTTTCAGTGCAAGCATTGATTGGGGAATTTTTCGTAGATCCCCCGTGGCGGGTCCAGGCTATTTGCGATCAGTTACTTCTTGTGAGTCGTGGAACGCGCTCGTCTATCTGAGTTGTAGCTGCTTTTCTTCCCTGCTCTGCTCAATTAGGGAATTCGTGCTGATCCGTGCATAATCAGAGACAACAGTACCAGTACCACCAGCTAGGTGGGTGGCTGTCCCGCCCTCTCGAGCTGGTGGCACCTCCTTCCGGGCATGCCTCCAGAGAGTGCCCCGAAGGAGGTGCCGCCAGCTCGAGGGGAGGGAGCGGCCGTCCCCCTAGCTGGCGGTAGTGGTACTTCTGTCTCACCCGAGTGCAGGGGGGTGCAGGTGCGCACGCGGGCAGTGGAGGCCGCGGAGTGGAGCCATGGCGCGGCAGGTGGGCGTCTTGGCTCGACGCCTCGGCGACCGCCTTCGCGGGGGCGCAGGCTCAAAGGCCACTGGCAGCCCGAACCAGGCCGACGGGTAACGATCGCCGTTGTTCACGGAATCTGGGCCTCCTGGATGGGGTCGGAGTGAATGAGGTCGGAGGATCGCGCCGCATCGCCGATGCGGCTCGATGTGCAGCCCGATTTGCTTCACATAGACGATGCCGATGCATCGACGTCGCCGATGCATCGCCGACGTAGACGATGCATCGCCGGTGTATCGCCGATGCATCGCCGATGTATCGCCGATGTATCGGCGATGCGGCGCGATCCTCCGACCCCATGTGTTCCGACCCCATCTAGGAGGCCTCTACGGAAGCGCAAGCGTGGATTAAGGCTCGTGGATTCGCGGCGGGCCCCGCGTTTGTGGAGAATCGGCAATCGGGCGTCGGTGGCCTGATTTCGCTCAAGGTTGAAGGATCTACGCGGTTTCAGAAGCCAGCGCCCGTGTCGGCATGATTGGAAGCAGCCATAATTACCCCATTTCCCTCCTCCATCCTGCTCCCCCTTTCCCCGCCTCCCTGCTCTTCCAGCATCTTCGAATAATAGGCTCGCTCGCACCTACCTCCTCACAGCGCACTCTGTGCCGCAATGCCCATGCTCTGATCTCGCCGCTTGCGCGTCAGGGGCGGGGGTGGGGTGGAACACGGGCCTATCTCGCGGGAAGTACATAGGCGAATGTGATGTGATGTGCAGCCAACCCGCATAAGAAGGATGGGCAGTTCCCCCAAGGGGTACCCTTGCATTCTATGTCACGTCCTTCATCGTTCGCGATCAACTTCGGGGGCCCTCGCGGCAACCACCAGGCGCGGCCCCAACAGTCTGCCAGGGCGAGCTGCGGGAGGGGCTTCTGGGGATCGGCCCCGAGCGGATCCCGGGCGAGGCCCCCCTCTGGGCCACCCGCGAGGGGCGCGAAGGTGGGCGCCCGGAGGGTCGATCCCCGGAAGGATTCTGGGCGAAGCCCCTCTGGGGATCGGCCCTGGGCTCGTCGGCGAGCCCAGGGGGGGGGAAGTTGAGGAGGGGAAGGCCGTCCCAGCAGGCGGCGGGACCTCTCAGGAGCCCCCCGCGCCTTCTGAGAAGTTTTGTTTTTTGCCTTCGGGGAAGGCCTGGGGAACTTCTCGGAAGGCCGGGGGACGTCCGAGCCCTCCGAGAAGGCCTTCTCCGTCTCACTTTCCACCCCCACGGGCTCGCCACCGACGGGCGGATCCCGGCCTCCTCGTCCTCCTCCTCCTCCTCCTCTTCCTCTTCCTCCTCCTCTTCCTCCTCCTCTTTCTCCTCTTCCTCCTCCTCCTCCTCCTCCTCCTCCTCCCCATCTTTCTCCTCCTCCTCCTCCTCCTCCTTCTGGGGGGGGGGGGCGGCGTCGGGGAACATCGAGCAAAAACACGAGCCTGCATCCCCCCAATCCGAGCCTGGGGGTCTTTGGGTGAGGTTGGGGTGGTCTGGTAGGTCCAGTGGAGGCCCATGCCAAGAAGCACCGGGTTTCTTGGGCGTCGATGATTTTACCGTGGGAAGCCCGATGTTCCCACACCAAAAATCAGTGGACGTCCTGGGGTCTCAGGGTTGGGCTTCCTGTTGAAGGGTTCTTGTGGTCGGGCCCCCACAGTAGAAATATTGTCAGAAGGCCGGGGGGCTTCCGAGCCTTCTGAGAAGGCCCGCCTCCTCGCGCCTCCTCCTCCTCCTCCTCCTCCGCCTCATCCTCCTCCTCCTCCTCCTCCTCCTCCTCCTCTCTCCTCCTCCTCCTCCTCCTCCTCCTCCTCCTCCTCCTCCTCCTCCCCCTCTTCCTCCTCATTCCTCCTCCTCCTCCTCATCATCCTCTCCTCCTCCTCCTCCTCCTCCTCCTCCTCCTCCTCCTCCTCCTCGTCCTCCTCCCCTCCTCCTCCTCCTCCTCCTCCTCCCTGCGCGGCCCGCGGCCCGCGCCGGGCGCGAGAGGGCGCGCTGCGCACTCCGCGCCCTCGCGAGCAGCCAGGGCCGCGACCGCCCGGCGCGGGCCGCGGGCCGCGCAGGGAGGAGAGGGAGGAGGAGGAGGAGGAGGAGGAGGAGGAGGAGGAGGAGGAGGAGGAGGAGGAGGCGGAGGAGGAGGAGGAGGAGGAGGGGGAGGAGGAGGCGGAAGAGGCGGAAGCGGGGGAGGGAGGAGGAGGAGGAATGAGGAGGAGGAGGATGAGGAGGAGGAGGAGGAGGAGGAGGAGGAGGGAGGAGGAGGCGGAGGAATGAGGAGGAATGAGGAGGAGGAATGAGGAGGAGGAGGAGGAGGAGGAGGAGGAGGAGGAGGAGGAGGGAATGAGGAGGAGGCGGGGGAGGAGGAATGAGGAGGAGGAGAAAGCGGCTGAGGAGGAGGAGGAGGACGTGTGCATGTTTGTGCTCGAGGAGGATAATGGATCATCGAGGATAAGAGAATTCACCAAGTCTGACAATCTAGGCCTCCTAGATGGGGTCCGGGTAGATGGGGTGCGAGGATCGCGCCGTATCGCCCTTGCATCGGCGATGCATCGGCGATGCGGCTCGATGTGGGGCCCACTTTTCTTCACGCCGACCGCGCCGATGCATCGCCGACGTTCACGATGCATAACCACCGGTGCATGGCCGATGCATCGCCGACGTATCAGCGATGCGGCACTATCTCTGACCCCATCTAGGAGGCATCGATTCTGGCAGCCAATCATGGGAGCCTGGTGTACCCTCTCCATTCCGTCGTTAGCGTCGACTAGCGTCGATTAGCGTTTGGGAGTCGATGAGATAGCCTCGATTTAGCGTCGGTTAGCGATGCGTAGCGTCGATTGAGCTTCGATTTATCTTCGGCTAGAGTCGATGAGCGTCGCTTCGCAAGATTGTATGGGAGGCTTCCATGAGTTGCGACCGACGTCGATCATCGAGGATTAGATAACCCCTAACCCTGATAATACAAGGAAGACGTGGCCTTTGAGGCCCCCGACTTTTCATCCGGGATGAAATATATCTGGGCGGTGTGGTCCGACGCATCTGCAGACAAGACTCCCTGTCCCTAGCATGTCTGGCCCTCCTAACTCAGGTCGCCTCCCAACGGGGGCCAGGGGTGCGTCTGTTGCTGCCCGATCGAGGAGCGTCCCAGATCCCGGACCCCGCCTTGCGACACGGGTGCGCGCACGAAGCCGCCGCGACCACCTCGCCCCCCCCCGACCTCTCTGGCACTCGGCCCGCGCGCGGCGCCTCGTGGGCCGGCCGGTGAGACCCCTCGGCCTGCGGGCATTACTCTGCGCGGAGGAGGGCCCCGGCCGAGAGAGGCGGCGGCGGCCCCGTGCCGCGGGTGCCTCGCGCTCCGCGCTCGGGAGTTGGCCTCCCGTCGCCGCGGAGCCGCCGCGAAGGATTTCAATCGCCACGCGTAGGGATGAGGATGACGATGACGATGGTCCTCACCAGGATAGTCATCGTCATCGTCGTCACCGTCTGGCTCATCATCTCACCATCGTCATCGTCGTCATCGTCGTCACCGTCATCGTCTTCATCACCATCATCACCACCATCACAATCATCGACATCATCATCATCATCATCATCAACATCATCATCATCATCATCAACAACATCAACAACATCAACATCACCAACACCAACACCATCACCATCACCATCACCGTCACAATCGTCGTTTTTTCGTCATCATCTGATCATCGTCATCCTCATCGTCAGCATTGTCATCGTCATCTTCGTTGGAGGGTAGGGTCGGACTGAGGTACGAGATCGAGGTCGGTTCGGGGAGGGTAGCCTGATGTTCGTCATGTGTTGTTGGGCGTTTTGGTGCATCCTGGGACCGGTGCCCTTGGGTGTCCTTTGAATTTTGGCCGACGGAGGGTTTCATGTTCTTGAAGGATGGCAGTCTGTGTCAGGTTTGGCCGTAGGGAGGAGGGGGGAAGGTGTCTTAGAAGTAATATGGCTTCTTAGAAGGCGATGGCCTTGTGTGTGGGCCAGCGCCTTGTAAGAAGCGGCCTCCTTAGATCGGGGAGACATAAGACTTGAGTAAGCCAGAGCTCGGGTTTGCCGCAGTTGTTTGACGAGCGCGGCCTGGATTTTGGCGGTCCAGTTTTCGTCGGATGTTTGCAGCGGGAACTCGCGTCACATTTCAGGTTGGGTCACGTCATGAGAGTGCGGTGCACAGCATTGATCGTGCCTCCCCGCGGCCGTTTTCAACCCTCAAGGTTTTTTGCTGCGCAGCAGGTGCGCACGGACCTTCCCCGCGGGTGGATGGTCTGGGGCCTCCTCGCCGCCGCCGCCTCCGCACCCGCCGCGACCAGCGGCGTGATCACAGCCTTCTCGGCGTGGGTGCTGCGAGAAGCGGTCTTGGACGCGACCGAAGCGGCGCGGGCGGCAGGACGGGCGGAAGTCCATTGCCCCGACATCCCGGAGCCGGTGTGCCATTGCCACTGCCAGTGTGAGGCGGTCACGGCTCCAAGCGGGGGTCACCAGTCTTGGCAGCTCGTCGGTTGCGCGCTCGTCTGCTTGTTCTTCTCCGTGCTGCAGGTGACAGTCACGTGCGTACAGTGTGGCGTTGGTTGGTTTGGCAGTCGGCCCGCCTCCTCCACCGGGACCACGAGTGCGGGGAGCGGACGGTTGGGCTTTGCCGACGGGGCCAGGGGGAACGAGTCTACGGCGGGCACTAGTGAGGTACGTGGGCGCGGGCGAGGAGTTGTCACCCGAGCGGTTGTACCTGAATGATCTGGTTGGGGGACAGGTCACGATCGCGTCCCCTGACTCTGATGTGTTCGACGAGGACATGAGTGACCAGAACGTGTTCGAGACGGTGAGGTTTTTGGGCGATAACGGGGAGCTGCCGCTGGGACTTGGCGGTGCGCAGTGGTATCGATTTCGGCAGCCGCCTACCGACGCGGAGATAGACCAGTTGCTGGCCGAGGTGATCGGCGTCGTCGCCTTCCGTGGCGCACGTGGGGCCGCAGGGGGCGCTGGCGGCCTGGCCGCTGGCGCGCCCGGCGCCGCCGCGGGCGGCGCCGCGCCAGCGGCCCCCTTCGTCGCTTGGGTGCTCGCGGAGCGCATGGATGGCCACAGCATCTGCGAGATTGTGACGATGCCGGCGGGGGCGGTGCAGGCCAACGGCTACGGGTTCATGGTGTTGCCGAACATGCCGCCCCCCAGGCCGGTGCTGGTCAAGCAGCTGAACAGCTACCAGGCGGAGATCGATACGTTCTGCGAGTGGTTGTCAGAGGCGAAGATCCCCGACGGTGACCGCTCTATCCACGAGAACGCCAACTTAGGGCTGGTGCAGGAGCTAGCGGTGACCTACGACGGGCTCAACGTCATGAACTTGGCCTGCTTGGAGGCTGTGGCGCGGAGGCGCCAGCGGATTGCCGAAGCCCATCATGACAATCCCAGCGCGCCAAGCTACGAGGGAGCCGCCCACCTCATGGGCGACGGGATGCGCACGGGCGGAGCGCTGGTGTCACCGGCGCGGACCGCACATGTATCCGATCGGCTGCGTGATGAGGCGGCCATCTCGAAGGAGAAGCGCAAGGCGGCGGAGGCGCGATCGCTTGCCCCTGGTCGTGGCCGCGGACGCGGCGGCAGGGGCGGCGGAGCGGGGGTCGACGCCGCCGGTGCTGGGTAGGCTACGGGTCTAGAGGTGCGGATTGGCTCGGCCGCATCTCGTCGTTCCCCGAGAGCCTGTTGTGCAGCAAGTGGTGAGCAGGGCCGACTCATCCTGTTCGCCGCTGTCATCCTGTTCGGAGTCATGGCCAAGCCTTTGGGTGAGGCCAGTTTTTCTGAGGGAGAGAACGTCCCAAGCAGGTGTCGTGATATTTTCCCCTTGCCTCGTCTCGCCGAAGGGCGCCGAGGTGACCTGCGAAGGATGTGCCGTTCTACGACACGGCGCGTGACGCGTCGGTGGGCTGTGGCAGCCGCAGTCAACAGGTCCGTGGACGCTCTCAACTCGATGTATTACGGTGCTCGTGATGTGCCCGCCCCTCCGGCCGTTAGCGACCTGATGACGCTGCCGCAGTGCCGGCGTGCTGCTCTTGCTCATCTGATCGCGCGCGCGCGTGAGCTGGGCCGTAAGCCTCCGAGTGTCACCCGCCCAGGGGCCCTCCAGGAACTTCGGGCTTTTACGCATGATTATGCAGGGGACTTGGGTCAGGGCACCCGTGTTCCCATGGTTTTGGAGAAACGGTCGCTTCCGGACGTGGAGCGCTCGCCGGTGGATTTGGAGTCAGTCTTGGTAGGGTTGCCCCGAGAGTGCCTTTAGAACTTTGAAGAGAAGATGCTCGTCGGCGCGGCGGTTTGGAGCCAGCTGTCCGACGTTGCATCTCAAGTGCCGCCTTACACGGACCCGCTGTTGAAAGCCCCTGGGGGCTTCTGTGCTTTTGCCTCCAAGATGGCTTCTCGGGGACTTGTGAGGTTCACTCGGCGCCCCGCTGCCCGTATCGGGGCGTTCACCGTTTTGAAAAAGTCGGGGAAGCAACGTCTTGTCCTCGATTGCCGCCAGTGTAATCTTCGATTCGCACCTCCCCCCCACACTGAGCTAGGTGGTTTAAGGTCTTTGAGTGAACTGGGGATCCCTGTAGGACAGGCCCTGTATTGGGCCGAAGGTGACATCAAGGACTGTTTCTACGAGTGCGGTATCTCGGACGAGCTTTCAGATTTCTTCGCTTTCGAGGTTGACGCGGTCGTGGGGGACTTACTGAAAGTAGGTGTGTCGGGGGAGCTCTTGGACGGTTCCAGAGTTGATGAGAAGGTGTCAACGTGTCTCACCGTGTTACCAATGGGGTTTACCTGGTCCTTCTGGTTGGTTCAAGAGTACCATATGCAAGTTGCCCGAAGGGAGGTCTCAGACAGTTTCGTTCTCGTGGACGGGCACCCCGTTCCGAATGTGCAGGCAGGTGAGCGCGTCTACATGGCGGACTGTGATAATTTGAATGCCGGCGCTTTCTCGCGTGAGCGAGCTGGAGAGCTGCGAGACGCTGTTCAGAGGGATACGGAGCAGGACGGTTTCACCATCCACGACATCTCGGGACCCTCCCTCGTCGCCCGCGTGCTGGGTTCGGTTCTTAATGGCGATGCAGGTACCCTCAGCCCGGACCCCGACAAGCTTTGGAAGTTGATCGTCGCGTTTGACTGGCTGAGTTCGGGGCCCGTGGTTTCGGCAAAAACTGTTGAGAGGCTGATTGGACACTACATTTATGTCGCCATGGTGAATCGCAGCACGCTCCCAGTCTTGCGGCACCTGTATGACTTCGTCTCGCAGAGTTCGGAGCCCGAACGTCTTTGGCCGAGGTGCTGCAAAGAGTGTCGCATCATTACTGGTCTTCTGCCACTCGCCGTGGCTGATCTTCGTCAGGAGTGGGACCCCACGGTCACGTGCACCGATGCCTCGCCGACGGGGCACGGAGTTTGCCAGCGCGATCTGGACGTTGACGCAGTTCGGAGGGTAGGGAGGTGGAACGAGAGGTGGCGTTTCAAACGACTTGCTCCTGACCAATGGGCCCCCAGGTCTCGTGCTCTAGGATTGGACCCCCAGGAGGACCTCGCCACGGCTGGGAACGTCTGGGCCCCGGAGGTCTCGAAGGAAGGTCTGCGGGGCGATGCTGGTGATTGGGGCTCTTTCAAGTATTCGGAGGATCCCGATTTCCCTGAAGTGCCCCTTTGTCTTATGAAGCAGGAGTCTTGGGATGTGGCGCTGCATGGTACCTGGAAGTTCTTGGGCGAACATATCACGATGAAGGAAGGTAGGACGGTTATTCTAGCGCTCAGACGTCTTTCTCGGGCTCACCGTAACTTTGGAAAGCGGCATCTACTACTCGTCGACAACATGGGGCTGTGTTTCGCTTTGTCGAAGGGTCGCGCCTGCTCGCGCGATATGCCCAGGGCCTGCCAGCGAGCGGGGGCCCTCTTACTCGCTACCAACAGTCGCCTTCGGCCGCGGTGGGCGCCCAGCGAGTTCAATGTTGCAGACGAACCCTCACGCCGCGAGGAACGGGCGGACGCTCGCAGCCGGGCCCACGCTGCCGACGCGGGCGGGCCAGGAGAGGCAGCTCGTCGGCAAGACGCAGGCGGCGGGGGGCATCGCTCGAGCTGCAACGACGGCGCCCACTGGCTCCCGGAGCCTCCGGGGCTGGAGCGTTGGCGAGAAGGGGCACGACCGCCGAGTCTCTCCCAAGGAGAAGCGCTTGCTGACGGCGCTGGTGGAGGCCCCCGAGGACCGCCGCCCTTTGCCGCCCTTGGGCACGAGGGCGGGGCTCGATTTCACGTCGCTCGAGGAG